AAACGGTTGAACATTAACCATTTCCTTTTGGTACAATGACTCTGTGTATTCCTTCCATCTTTTCTTGATGCATTCTGCATCATTCAATAATTTGCCTGGTGACTAGTATTTCATTATTTCTGTGAACAAGAATGGCTTTTCTAATCCTGAAGCATTCTAATGGGCTGTTTAAGAGCTTCTCTTAATTCAGAAGTTACTTAAAGCTAGTAAGATTCCATTTTGGTAGAATGGCTACAGGCAAAGAATACTTATCATTTTGTCCATTTGGGACCTTTTTGCATTGTCTGTCTTATAAACCTGTTAGGTTTTTCATCTCTTATCAAACTTTGTGGCAGCGACATTTCTTTTAGCTCATCTCTAAAGGACCCAGTGAAAGCAAATGATTGGATGAGCTTACCTCCTCAGAGAAAACCCAAGTTAAGTAAGATTCTAGGGGGTTTTCCCATCTGTCCATCTTTCTCTTTCTATAAGTTATGATCTAAGCAAATTTCTGTTCATTTGTCTGAAGAACAATTTTTCAAAACAGTACAAGGAGAAAATACCACTCTTCTTTGCATTTTTATGTCCCTAAGATGTTTGTAAGTAAAAGCATCTGTCTTATACTGCATGCATTTTCACTTTCAGAATGCTGCAACAAGAAGTTAGTCTGGCAACACATTGGACAGGATGATTTGTTGTTGTTATGTGTCCTTGAGTTGATTCCAATTCATAGCGACCTTATAGGACAACGTAGAACTGCCTGTAGGGTTTCCTAGGCTGTTATCTTTACGAGAACAAACTAACAGGACTTTCTCCCACAGAGCCACTGGTGGGTTTGAAGTACCGATCCTTTTAGTTAGCAGCTGGACACTTAACCATTACACCACCAGGGTTTCTCACTAAAGGGGGGAAATTCTCAATGATGTATGCACTGGGAAGTTCAGAACGTTCTGTGGAAATTCTGTAACAGGAAAGATACCAGAAGGAGCAGGACAAGCTGAAAGAAGAATGGGAAAAGGCTCAAAAGGAGGTAGAAGAAGAAGAACGCAGATATTATGAGGAGGTAGGAAATTCCCAAGAAGAAATTTGGCCTTGTAGTTCCAATCCATCAAAGTTCATCAATACTTTTTTGTGTGTGTCTTGTGTATGGCTTGTGTATGCATGTGGCTCTGTCTGATTCTCTCTGCTCGGAGCAGGCTCCATCAACATTCTTAAATGAGGCAAATCATACAGAATTGAAGACACTACAACTCCCCAAAATTTGGTTCATGGTAAGGGCAGATATAGCCCTGGTCCTGAAATATGACTTAATTCCATCTGTTATTTAATCAGAGATCTGAAGTCTTGATTTGTCTTAGATGACATAAAAGAATCAATACGTTTATTAGCTTCTTTGCTTGTGATGAGTATGTTTAGTAATAGTAAGTTACTTTTATAAGAGTAATTTTGACAATGAGTCTAAATGAAATTATCTTTACCATGACATAGTGCTAAAAAGATTTAAGGGGAGAAGAATTTTGTTTTATTTTGTTTTGTTTTTTAGATAAACAAATAAGACTACATGAAGAGAATCTGAAAGGGGCTGCACTTCATGTATATTATCAAAAAACTTGTTTGTGAATTTTATCTTCAAAAATAATTTTTATACACAGTTAGATCACAAATAGCATTTCTAATTAGGCTTCTTGAATCACACTAATTAATTTGTAAATGCTGTGTTTTCTAAATTAAATGCTAATTTTTAAATTTTGCCCATAAGAGAATGTTATATGATTTGCATGCTTTAGGAAAGTTAGAATTTTTATTTTTTAAATGGCCTGCTGTTTGCTTACATTCTGAAGTTCTTCCTAAAGTCCCTTAATAGAATTCTTCTCTTGGCAAATGTGATTTTTCGTGTCCTAGGAACGCAAGATAATTGAAGACACAGTGGTTTCATTTACTGTTTCTTCGAGTTCTGCAGACCAGCTGTCAACATCCTCTTCCATGACTGAAGGCAGCAGGACAGTGGTGAGCCCCAAGATTAGAACCCAGATTGTGAAAACAAATAGACATAAGTACAAAACTACAGGCCAAGTTGTCCCACTAGACTCAATAGTTAAACACGTGCCCTAGAACGATGCTAGATACAGTGTGGCCATTGCATCCCATTGTATAAGGGAACTTCGAAAATTCATGGAAAAATTCCATTATCTTTTCATTTCATCGTCCACAAACTTATTAAAGACCCTTCATAATATCACTGTCCTGGATAGACCCTAAAGTCATTTCCAGAGGAGCAATTAAATTGTTACCCAGCCTGACAACTAAAGTCTCTCCACACCTGACTGGCAAGAGCCCAATGAACAAAACCAGGCACTGGAAATGTCCTTCTCACTTCCAGGTTTCCAGCTCAGTCACCCATTCATTCATCCATCCATTCATTCATTCATCAGACATTCTTTCCTCTCTGCCATGCCTTTCTGTGCACTGGACTATAACAGCAGGCATGCCAGCAACATACTTTCCACCAGCCCCCATGACATTGCTTCTATCCCTATGCAGTATTCCACACAAACTTGAAGAACGTCTTAGGGAGCTGGAAAGAGCCAGGAGTGCTACCTTACTTCCACGTCCTGCAAGCAGAGCTATCTAGGTAGTAGACAGACATCATGGCAACACCTGGAAAAGCCATCATCCCATTGCCATCAAGTTAATGCCTGCTTCTGGTCACCTCGTGTGTTACAGACTAGAACAGCTCCCTAGAGTTCTCTTGGCTGTAATCATTACAGAAGCAGATAACAGGCCCTCCTTCTGTGGTTCTGCTGGGTGGGCTCAAACTGTCAACCTTTAGGTTAGGAGCTGAGATTAAACCATGTGCTCCACTTAGGGATCTTAGGTATGCCGTGATCAGAATTTTAAAAGCCAGGGGATACTAGAAAGCCATGATTTGTCTTGAGGTGAGGAGTCCTGTGACTTCTTTCTTTCTTTTTTTGGAAAAGAAGCATTCTGATAAATGCACGTTTATGATTACTTATGGACTTCTGGTGTGGCACTATAGGATCAGCGCTGGACTGTGGACCACAAAGTCAGCAGTTCAAACCCACCAGCTGCTCCTTGGAAACCCTATACAGAGTCTCTATGAGTCGGAACCAACTCAACAGTGTTTACCAACAACAATGAGAGAGATGCAGATGATGCATTTATTCCAAATAGTTGGAAATCAGTTATTATTCAGTTACTTTGAGCACCTAACAGTGATTCTGTTGTTTGTTTGTTTACACTGTAGGCAATGTGGTTGAAAAATGCCTCAATTATCCCATGGCTGGAGATGGGTTATAAAATGTATTTAGAAATTCTATTGAGGATTAACCGTGTTCTTCCCCTAGAATAAGATGGACCTAGAAAACTGTCAAGATGAAGAGCAAGAGAGAAGACAGAAGAAACCACTCCAGGGGGACGACAGTAACTTATTGCTTAACAATATGGAAAGGGATCCACAGGAGGAAAAGAGAAGGTATGAATCTTTACCAGGCTCTCCATCAAAATGCAGAAAGCTAGGCCCTGCCCGATCACTCCCACAAAGGATACCCATTGCTGATGCAAATCATATTCAGCTCTGAAATCATCATTCCAGGAAGACAGTGCATATTGCATATTTCTTACACAATCTAATAGCTCTGAAGTAAGTGTCCTTTGAATAGTGGATATAAATAGGCTTGTTTTTAAATAGGAGATATTTAAAAAAAGAGAGAGAGAGAGAGAACCAGATGGAGTTTTTACCTAGGGACATTGAGTTTATGTTAAAGGTTGGAGGATGTTTCAGAAAAAGCTAGCAAGACACGAAACATGGAGTGGATATCAGGAAGTTTTAAATGTGGAAGTTGTGCTGGCAAATGTTTTGACATGCATATTTTCACCACAGTATACCTTTTTCTAAAAGGAGAGATTATATAGATTATCAAAGTCAATTCAAAGTCTTAACACTAGATATCATTCATCTGAAAGGGAAAGGCGTGTGGAGGAAGAGAGATTGCAATAAGACCCTAGGTCCCACCATGGTTTTGCTGTGAGCAGGCATTGTAGATAAAGGATATCTAAGAAACCACGGGTGTTTGTGGGTCATATCCCCACCCATGGGTTCCAATATGTTCCGTGGGAGATTAGAATAGGATACTAAGAAACCCTTGGAGCATTCAGAGTTAGTTCAGACTAGAAGAGACACTAGTCATAGCCTTGGACTGTCGTGGGTTTATGCGACCCCTAGCCTAAAGGAGCTCTGGTAGCGTAGTGGTTATGAATTGGTCTGTGAACCACAAGGTCAGCAGTTCGAAACTACCAGCTGTTCCACGGGAGAAAGATGCGGCTTTCTACTCCCATAAAGAGTTACAGCCTGGAAACCCTGTACAGGGTCGCTATGGGTCGGAACCGACTCAACGGCATATACCAACAATAGCCTAAGCTAGAAGGGAGCTGTAGAATTCCCAGGAGTCCACCATCATGTTTTTTATGAGACAAGTGTTTGCTTCTGAAGCTTTCTTCAAACTTGGATCTGAGATATGGGCACTTGCATGCATGCATGTGCTTATGTGTGCACATGTACACACACACAGTATCCCCAGAGGAAACTGAAGGCACAAAAGTCTATCTAAGTACCATTTTCAAAGACTGGCCAGTTTGCCAGGTTGGCTGGGAGCTGAACTCTTCTGAGGCTGAGGCTTGGCTCTTAGAACACTCTTTTGTGTACATCAGCTAGAAGACTGGGTGACTCGCAGGCTATAGGAACTTGGGGACCATGTGCAGACTGTAGAACACTTTGGTTAGCACATTAGCTTCTATTTACCACAGTTTAAAGGGACTTTGCAGTTTTATGAAATGCAAGCCCCTGGTCAGGAGGATTTGAATGATACTGATAAGCATTTTACATGAATTTTTGCTAATTCTCTAGGTGGTTCCTGTTGTCATGAGCTTTCCTTTCATCTCTTACATCTCTCTTTTCTATGTAGCCAGAATTCATTAAATGTCCAGTGAATTAACGTGAGCAGGCCCAATGATTCTAATAATAAGTCCTGATTTTCTTAAGGAAATCTGGGAGATCCCAATTAGTTCTGGAATCTCTTGACAAGATTAGAATGAAGAATTTTTAAAATAAGGAAGTTAGGAGAACATCAGAAATTATAGTTTTTCCAGTTTGTTAATTTGATAGATAATGAAAAATGATACCATTTTACAGTACTTGAAATGCCTTTTAAATCTGTTATTGTTGTTAGGTGCTGTAGAGTTGGTTCTGACTCCTAGCGACCCTACATATAACAGAATAAAGCCCTGCCCAGCTCACACCATCCTCTGCATCACTGCTGTGTGTGAGCCCATTCTAGCTGCCGCTATGTCAGTCCCTCGCATTGAGGGTCTTCATTCTTTTCATTGACTGTCCACTTTACCAAAGATGATGTCCTTCTCCGGGGACTGGTCCTTCCTGACAACACGTCCTTCCAGACATTTCAAATCTAGTTAAATGTCAATAGATAAAATTGTTAGTCCTGTGTCTTTTTAAAAGTTAAAATTAGCACATCCATGCCTAAAGTAGTAGGGCCAGTGAGTTCGGTTCCATTGCTTTAATCTCTGTGCTGAAATATATTTCTTTTAACAGCTTAACTCATGGGGCCCTGACTCACTCTGAGAACCCTATACCAAAAGCAGTCCATCAGGACCAGCAGCTGGAAATGGAAGCTGGGGTTCCACACTATGGGATGAACCAACAGCTATCTCAGGGTAAGAATGGAAAAGACTGACTCCCAGGGTTAAGTGTATGATGACTAGCAGTGTAATCCATGGACCATATAACTTGCTTTCCATTGGGTTTTAGGAGTTGCATTCCAAGCTACAATTGCATCCACTCAAATTTGCATTTTCTACTGAACTGGAGTCATGGTGTGGAAGTGTGGGATCAAGTACTGACCACAAGGTTGGGTTGAACTACAAAGTTGCTGATTCAAACTCACCAGCTGCTCCTTGGAAACCCAATACAGGGTTGCTGGGAGTCAGAACTGACTCGACAGCACCTAACAACTACAGCAACAGCAAGGGTACTCTTCAAGAATGAACAGCAATGTGACTTTACTGCGCACTAAGCTTATGCTCTTTGCTTGACCGTAGATCCATCCTGGAATCAGCAAGTATTAAACCCACCTTCGCACATTTCTGGAGAAATGAAGCCGAAAACCCTCCCATTGGATAAAAACATCAACCATCAGATTGAGTCTCCAAGTGCAAGGCGGAAGTAAGTAACCGAGTAAACTGGAGGTGGGCATAGGAAGGGGAAAATGAACAAGTGTGAAATGGCAAGATGCCAGCAGCCTCTCTGTGCCTCCTCGTCATTTAATCTCCCTGACAAGGTAAGAAATATTCCTATAGAACTGGAGCAACACTTCTGGCAATTCAATATTCACCTGAATGTTTTTAACCCAAAGGAAGAATTTGCAGGTCTGTTGTATTGATAATTCATTTGAGTTAAATTGTCTCGGAGCCTGTTGAAGTTAGAAAACAAATGTCATTCTCTCATTCTCATGCTCTTCTATTATGCAGTTATACTAGACTCTCTTTTCATTTTTGTAAGAATTGTAAGGTTTTGAAATAAATAATTATAGGTCTTAAAATTGTTTTGGAGTCCTGGTGTAGTGCCATAAGATAAGCACTCAACCTTAAGGTCGGTTTGAACTGCAAGTTTGGTGGTTCAAACTCACTGGTAGCTCCTTGGAAGGACAGGGTCACTGAGTCAGAACTGACTCGATGGCACTTAAAAACATGAATGATTTTTTTTTTAAGCATTTCAGTATAACAAACACTGGGTTGAAGGGTTTACATATAGTTCTCCCATCTTTCCCTAGCAAGTTGAAATTTATTTTTCTTGTAACTCTCTTTTAGGACCCATAAAGTAAAATTCAAAGGCCTAGTCTACACAAAGTCCTTAAATGTACAAAGAAGAGTCGATATTATATTTTCTTCCTCACAGTAAAACTCCCAATGGTGTTCAACTACTTTTTATGAGATGGTGTCAATTCCATTTCTAGACAAGTTCATATCTTGGAAATATCCATTTCTAGACATGTTTCAATTGCCAATATGTTGCTAAAGGGTAGTCCCTAAAATTGCACCCTATGTTCCCTATAGGGCCCAACCCAAACAAAGTAATATGCCAGGACTCTTTACCTGTTTTGTACACTAATACCTTATGGATATAACGTAAGAGGACATTCATTAATCGTTCATCTATTAATAATAACAAACTTATATACAATCATTAGTATATAACTATTAATAACAACAAACTTATATACAACAGACTCTACATATTATATTCTTTCCAATAACTTTTTGAGGTTATTGTCCTCATTTTACAGGTGAGAACATAGGGGCTCAGAGAAGGTAAATAACTTACCCCAGAGCACTTTACCAGTCACATAGTTGGGGAAATCTAAATGAATCCACAGTTCCACAATACGATCAGATCAGAGCCAAAGATTTCTTGTAATCACAGTTTAAAACGTAAAAGATTTATTACAATTTAACAAATTCTCTGGAGCCAGACTGCCTGGATTCCTATTTTGCCTCTGTCATCTGCTTTCATGATAACTGATAACAATGTATGCTCGGTTTCTTTATCTGTTACATGGGAATAGTGATAGAATCTACCTCATAGGGCTTCAGGTCCGGCAATCAGTAAATGCTATACATGGCAGCTTCAAAAAGTTCATGGACAAATTCCATTATTCTTAATCTCATTTTTCCATAAACTTTTTGACGCCCTCACAGATTGTGAATGACAATGGCATTGGTGATGATGATGATGGTATCCTATTTATAGGAGGAAAAGCTTCATTTTTGCCTTAGTTTCTTGTGACATCTTGAGTTTTCTTCATACAATGTGTAAACTCTTCCTTGTTTCTTATGTCTGTCCAATTCTATTTCTATAGCGGCTCAATCACCGGTCAGTCAATCCTCAGAAACCCTATACAAGGTCTCTATGAGTCAGACCTGACTCGGTGGCACTTAACACCAACAATATAACACTTAGAATCAGTTGAAGCTAAACTCACATAAAAGCAATCGTCATTTGTTATTGATTATTGCAGTTTTATATTCAACATTTTTCTAAGGCATGGTAACTGTAGTTTGGAGTCTTACGTGAAAGTACGAATGAAGGGCAGCTTGGGTGGGTATGGGACTTGGGGAGCTGTGGTAGAAACAAGAGTTAGAAGACAGATGTCCTCATACTCTGTTCGCATCTGTGTTGGTGTTTCTGTTTCCTCTTTCTTTTCTGTGATCTACCCCATTTGGTATAAATGAAGTGAATGCTTAAAAGCAAGAGCCCAGAACTCACACTTAGTCAGGGTCAGAGTTCATGGGCAGTTAAGAGCACCTAGAGACCATTCTAAGTAGCTTTGGGCTGGTGATTGTTAGGAATTGCTGATGCCCTTGACCTACTGGCTGTTAAATATTTGCATACCACTCCTCATCACATATATACATTAGGGATTTGTTGATGGAAGTGGGAACACCTTGAAGCTCTACCATTTATTTCTGGGCTAAGAGCTTGTCCCTGAGTCCCTACTCACCTTTCTCCTGAGTCCATAATTTGTCTATGAAATTCCACATGCCAAAAGTAGGTTGCAATGGAAAGAAACATCTCAGCCATTTTGATGCAGCGAAACGCCTAACAAAATAAAAAATAAAAATATTCTGTCTTTCATGTTCCACAATGAATGCAGGTCTGGTTTTGATTATATGTAGTCAATACATGTATCATCCTTGCTAGGCAATTACAGTGTTTGTCCTTTTTAAAATTTACCATTAGGATACTGCAGTCTTCAATCTCATTGCCAAGGAAGATCAGTTGGTCTTACGTAAGATGTCTTTTTGTGTGTGTGTATAGATTGGGCTTCTCTTCCCTTGTCATAATTTTTTAATCCTTTAACCCATTTCAGGACAAGCCCTCAAGAGAACTTCCAGGCTGGACACTTGTCCCCCTGCTCTCCCACACCTCCTGGCCAGTCACCAAACAGGTACAAGATGACGTCAGCGTGTCTTCCTGAGGCCGCTTGCTTTTATGAAATTTGAGTCTGTCGAGCATAATTTCAACTGCATTGTTGTTATTAAGTGTCATCCAGTCAGTTCTGACTCATAGCAACCCTGTATACAGTTTCCAAGGAACGCCTGCTGGGTTTGAACTGATAACCATGTGGTTCCAAGTCCAGTGCTGACCCTACAGCGCCACACCAGGAGTGTGTTAGTACGTGCAAAATGATCGGTCCACCTACATCTCTTAATACAGACATAGACACACACACACCATTTCCATCTGCCTGCCCCGTTTGCCAGTCCATAAGAAAAAGCCAAGTGTGTGACGTTGGTGCGGCTGTGGCCACAGGGCTGTAATTACATTGTGTGGAACCTGCAATCTAATAATAAAATCTCCCAGACAATTACTAGGCTCCTCAATCGGCGCCTTTCCCTCCAAGAGGACTTAGTGCTCCTAGGCAGGATCCGCTGATGGCTCTTACAGAGAAGCCGACGGAGACTGAGAAAAGAAACTTCATCCTTCTCTCTTCTCCCACTCCAGTTCTAATGATTGCTTCTGGACATTAATGGGGCCTCATGATATTCTTAAAAACCGCCTGAATTTCCATTCACTGAGGAAACAAATTACTGAGCACTCTGAGGTTCTCTTTGATTTAGAAATTTCATTTAACTACTGGATCAGAGGGAAATCCTAATAAATAGAGTTTGCTTGGGGCAATTCTTCCTTCCTCTTTTCGATTGTCTTCCTTTCTGGATGCGGTCCCTCTGTACTCCCATTGACTTTCAACTGCTGTAGCAGATTTTAAAGGTTTTCCTTTGAGTCCAAGAGCTTTTCAGACCATACTCAGCACTGCAGTCTGATGTTTTCATTGTGGAAATGCTTTCATTTTAAGCTGCATCTAATCTCAGATAAAGAGCTCTGGTAGCATAGTGGTTACAAGTTGGGCGGCTAACCTCGAGGTCAGCAGTTCGAAACTACCAGCGGTTCTGTGGGAGAAAGATGAGGTTTTCTGCTCTCCTAAAGATTTAAAGCCTTGGAAACCACCCTATACAGGGTTGCTATGAGTCAGAACCGGCTCTGTAGCACATAACCACCACCACCACCATCTCAGATTGCTGACCATGCCATCTCTCCTGGTGTTGGGCTATTCGGTTTGGTTCTAGTCCACGGGTATGGGCCCTGTTCTAGTGGCTGTGAGAATTTAGCGACCAGGTAGATACAGCCCATCCCTTCCAGAAGCTTAAAAGAGAATGTTGAGGGCTCACAGCATGTTTGGACTAGAAGCGGTCGGAGACATCATCTAATCCAGGCCTTCATTTCAGAGGCAAACAGGAAGCACAGAGAGATCTTTACATCAGATCGCACAATGTGGGGAAGGAGACCTGGTGGCACTTTGGGTTGCCCTGGGGTTGCTAATCGCAAGCTTGGCAATTCAAACCCACTGGCCGCTCCCTGGAAGAAAGCTAAGACTGACTGATCCTGGCAAGATACACAGTCTCAGAAACTCTAGATAGGATCATCTTGAATCAGAATTGACTGAAGGACAGTAGGTTGTCTTAGGGATTAAGTCCCATATCTCTGCCTGGTACCTGTTCTTTATTTGACAACAAAACAAAACCAAAATTTTCTCTTAACAAGTCAAAAGAAGTGACTTAGTAGGCCAATGAGCCAATTATGAATAATTTTAAAGCAACATTGAAAGCTTAGTAAAACTAAGTTTAATGATCTTTTAGTAGATATGAAAAGATGTGACAAATACACTGCGTCATCTCAAGGCATTTGGTCACTGTGGTTGAAGAGACTGTAGCACAAACTTCTTGGAGCAGATAACTCTCTCTCTCTCTCTCTCTCTCACACACACACACACACACACAAGGGGACCTCAAAACGTTTATGGAAAAACCCATTATCCTTAAATTCCATTTGTCATGAACTTTTGGAAACCCCTTGTCTGTGCGTACACACATGCACACCCTCACCAGATTTAGTACTACAGTGGAGCCCTATAGTCTTTAGTCTCGCAGTTGTCTGAAGTCCATATCTAATATCTAATTTCCCATCATTATCAGTTCACTCATTTTCATTTCATTTCTGATATAAATGTGGCCTGTTCCACGGGAGAAAGATGAGACTTTCTGCTCCCGTAAAGATTTACAGCCTCAGAAACCCTGTACAGGGTCGTTATGAGTCGGAACCGACTCCACGCCGCATAACAACAACAACAACATGGGAAGAAAACCTTCTAGCAGTAAACCTTGTAGAACTCCATGTTTTTATCTTTTGCATGAGGTTCCATATTTGTGTATTTGATCACTGTTTAAACCAAACTTGCAACTGGTAGTGGAGTGGGTTACGGGTTGGGCTGATCACCATGAGTTCAGTGGTTTGAATCTACCAGCCACTCCACTGAATAAAGACAAGGCTTTCTGTTCCCATAAAGATTTACAACCTCATTCCCACCCCCTCCATACACAGTGTAGACAGCAATGGACAACTTGGACATTGGCTACCCAAAATGGGGGTGGGGGAGGCTAGAAAGGCAAGAAGTGACTGGCTTACAAGCTTTTAAGAGAGAGCCTAGATCCAGAGGGCACAGAGAAAGGTAGAATCTTCACTGAGTAGTATCCAGTCTGTCCGGACAGGGCTGATGAAAGAAGATGCAGATAGGTCCCCTGTGATACAATAGTGAATAATTGTTATCAGGACTGATTATGAGGGTTGGAAATGTAAAGGTAGACGTTTTGTAGCAAAAAGAGTGGCGTGATTGACTTTGCAGTATAGGAGCGGAGGTCCCTGGGACCATCAAGGGAGAAGAGCAGAGAGCAGGACCTTACCCAAAGAAGCGGTGATGCCAGAGATGGAGGCACAGATGATGACATGGAGAGATGGAGCAGCTGGGGACTCTAGACCCAGGGAGGGAGAGGGGCTGTGTGCTGATGACCAGGGGGCAGGCTTGCAGGGTATACCCTTTGGTTGATTGATGATGTATGGAGGGAATTGTAACCATGACAATGAAATGATATATGATAGGATGAATGTAAAGCTAATGTTCTCTCATGTAAACTATCACATAATTCACAATAAAACATTAAAACAAACAAACAAACAAACACGGATTTGCAACCTCAGAAACCCTATATAGGGTTGCTATGAGTCGGAACTGACTCAGTGACATAGAACCCCCAACACCACACATGCATGTGCACGTACACACACACACACACACACACACATATATATTTGCTTTTGTGTTTTGTTAATCTAGGTCTATAAGTGGGAAGAAGCTGTGCTCTTCTTGCAGCCTTCCTTTGGGGAAAGGAGCTGCTATGATCATCGAGACCCTAAATCTCTTTTTTCACATCCAGTGCTTTAAGGTATGTACTCATGACTCTACTCACTAAGTACAATTGAATGTGAATTTTTGACTTCTTCTGTGCTAAGAAATCATTCCAGAAATCCTGAGGACCTTTGTTTGTGAGGGTTTCCCCCTCTGGGTTATATAGAAGTATGGATGGAGGCACAGCCTTTAGGGTAAAGCTCTCTTATCGTGCATCGCTCTGGGAAGTTGGCCTAGAAAAGGCCAAAGAAATTTGTGCAATTGATGTTGTCTTTACACAATAGTTGCTTTTGATATTGACCATATAACCAACAGAAGACTGAGAATACTACACTGGGAAGGCAGTGATGTTATGTGTAGGGCCATGTAGATTTATTTGGAGTATAAGCAGCTTTGCTACTACTCCAACTCTTATGACTTGGTGTGAAGGGCATATAGTCTTTGACCTAATGCCAGATTTTCCGCCAATTACAAAGGTGCAAGTTTTTAGATCTCAGATATGAGGGGGCTTCAAACAGTTCATCGAAAAATGAAATGGAAAGATACTGGAATTTTTTCATGAACTTTTTGAAGCCCCTTGAAGAACGTTATTAATTTCAGATTGACTATTACTCCCTCAAGAAGCTGCCCTGCTTACTCAGACTAACTGGGTTGACTTTGTTACTGTCATGCTTCTTTCTGCCTCCTTGAATGTTCCGATATTTCTTGTTCAGGGCTTCCTAAGCTGTAAAGTAGATTTGCATGGGTTAAAATGACTCCCACTTTGCCTGTATGCTAAGTGAAAATGAGTGAAATTGTTCACAAATTATGAATTTAATAATGTCTGTAATCATTTGAAAGCAAGATGTATCTACAGTGTGAATACTTATTATTGATTCAGTGCATCAAACATAAGACCATAGTTTTCCATTCCCTAAATTCTATTATATTTTTATAGAGAATAATTTCACAAAGGGCAACCAAATACATTCTCACTGTAAAACTAAGCTAGATGATCGTCATCATGGTCGTGATGTGCCATGGATTTGGTTTCAACTCATAGCGACCCTGTACAGGGTTTCCAAGGCTATAAATCTTTATGGGAGCAGAAAGCCTCATCTTTCTCCCACAAAACAGCTGGTAGTTTCAAACTACTGACCTTAAGGTTCACAGACCAATTTGTAACCACTATGCTACCAGAGCTCCTTAAACTAGGTGATACATACCCTAAATTATCTAGAAGGGCTTAGATCTTGGGAATCTACAAGGGGGTTTCAAAATGTTAGTAGAAATTTCTATTATGTTTCTTATTCCATTTTTCCATGAACTTTTTGACACCCCCGATATATTGTTTTTTAATTTCATGGTAATGTCAAGATGATATGTTCCAGCACAGCATGTTGTCCTCAGACCCTTTACCAAGTAAGAAATAATGGAGGTGGCAAAGGGATAGGATACTGGCTTTCTTAGGTGTTGTGGCTACCATTCTCTGATACTTTAAGACATATCCTTAGCTGTATTGCCCTGCCTTGTGATGTGGCTGTAGCTTACAGAATAATTAGCATGAAGCTGTCGTAGGTGGCTTCTGAGATGGGTCCTGATCCCCAACAAGAAAGAGCTTGCATCTGGACCAACTTCTATTGCCACCTTCTCTGGTACAACCGGATGGTATATCCCTCAGTCTTCTGACCTCAGGCTCACTTGACTGAAAGAAGTTCCATTTGTTACTTTGAACATCGCTGCCTTCAATGTGGCAATATAAAGTGGAATAGTTATTGCCTAGTAATTCTGACCTGGTAGAACCAATAATACTAGAAGCATGTGAAAGAGTATTCACAATCAAGTTTCAACTGAGAATTCATTGGCCCTGTGTTTATGTAAAACCACCAGGATGGCTTCTGTTTTCAATTATACTCCCATCTTTGGCACCATAGGATAAGCACTCGACCTCTAGGGTGTTTTGAATCACAAGGTCAGTGGTTCAAACTTACCACCTCGGAAACCCTATATAGGGTTGCTATTAGTTGGACTGACTCGACAGCACTTAACAACAACAACAAAATCTTGATAGAGAAAGAATTTTGGATTCATCCACACTTGACACCATTATACCAGCTTCACAACCTTGAACAAGTCAACTAACCTCTCTGAACCAGTGTGCTCCTCTGTAAAATGGAAGAATTTAGGACAAAATCCTAAAAGTATATTGTTGTTGTAAGTCAGCTCTTTATGAAGCACTTAGCATATAATAGATGCTCAACAAATGCTCAGAATGTAGACATGGTTTGTGTTCAAAATGGTAGAAAGAAACAATTCCTCATGTGTCTTATTTTTATTACTTCTGTTCCATTTACCCTATAGTGTGGAATTTGTAAAGGACAGCTTGGAGATGCAGTAAATGGGACAGATGTGAGGATTCGAAATGGTCTTCTAAACTGCAATGATTGCTACATGCGATCCAGAAGTAAGTACCTGGAGGGAAAACCTCAACTAAATCTGTGAAGATGAGTGATGGAATCCTATGCCTTTCATAGTACCCAATTCAGTATTTCTCCCCATTGGCGATACTATCCTGAGGAAAGCATATATTTACATCTGTTGTTTTTGTTGTTAGTTGCCATTGATTTGGCTCCAACTCATAGAGTGACCTTATGCATAACAACAGCACATTTCCCAGCCTTGTGCCACCTTCATGACTGCTGCTCTGTGAGCCCACTCTTTTGGCCACTGTGTCCATCCTTCTCATTGTCTTCATCACAGCTCCATTGCATTACCCACGGTGTCAATGTCCTCCTCTAGCAATTGATCTTTCCTGATGATATGGCCAAAGTAAACAAGCCAGAGTCTCACCATTCTTGCTTCTAAGAAGCATCCTGGTTGTATTTGTTCTAAGGTTGCTATCCGTGGGGTTTTCATTGGCTACTTTTCTGAAGTAGATTATCTTAATCTGGAAAAATTCGACTGAAACCTGTCCAGTTTAGGTGACCCTGCTGGTATTTGAAATACTGATAGCATAACTTACAACATCTTAGCAACATGCCGACCACCACAGTTTGACAAACAGGCAGACAGTAGTGACATCCAGGTAAATGTCAGTAAAAGAAATTCTCAGAAATCACTAGTGGAAGTGACTGCTGCCATGTGCATATGTGCTTTTCATCTAGACGTGTATTAACACACTGTTATCGTTGAGAAGTGCCGTCGAGTTGGGTCCATCTCATAGCGACCCTGTAAAGGGTTTCCAAGGAGCAGCTGGTGAGCTTGAACCACCGACCTTGCTGACCAGCACATTATCCTGCAACACCACACCAGGACTCCATATAGTTGTGGGTTATCTTACTCTTATACTCTTAGAGGGAGAGTATGAGCTGGTGTGTTTGAACTGCCAACCTTCTGGTTCAAACCAACTTTGCAACCCAGTGCTCATCCTACAGGTAAAAACTCTAGGCTAACTTGTTGATGCTGTCAAAGCTCACCATAGAGAGTTTGCTGAGCTGGAAGGAAGATCTCAGATCTGTGAAAGCTATTCATTTGTTGAGGCATATCTTTTAGAAGACTGGCACCATGTGGGTGTGGGTTACCAAGTGCTAAGTTCTCAGTATCCTCATGCTCTCCATTCAGGAGTTTCATTACATATTATGCTTTTATTTCCAACTAAATTGAAAGTGCCTTGAATGATGAAACAATGGCTTTTGATGCTCTGAACTGCCACTCCAGTGCCTTCGTACACAGTCCACAGCTGCCTTGGAGCTCCCGAGTCCTCTCGTCTTCTATCTGGGTCTTGCTAACAGTAAAAGGCTCATGTTGGTTTGGGGGGCACCAGGGGGTGCTGTTGCCCCGCTGCTGTGTAGAAAATCTGACCAGCCTGGGCTTACCTTAAATCCTTCCTCAGTCTTTTTGGTGGATGACTAGAGACAACAGGAGATCTTTTCATGCAACTTCATCCATCTAAACCCTTTCTTTTAAGAAGAAAAAAATGAAACAAAGAAAAGGAGTTTGAAATTCAAGAAGGTTTTATGATTTTTCAAAGTAAGCAAAGTAACATTTTCCAGCCTCTTCACCGCTAAATCTGTAAATCCTGGTGTGGCACTGTAGGATGAACACTGGACTGTTAATCACAAAGTTAACTGTTCACATACACCAACTGCTCCTTGAAAACCCTATACAGAATCCTTATGAGTCAGAACTGACTCAAGGACACTTGTTGTTGTTGTTGTTAAGATCCGACCCATAGCGACCCTAAACAGGGTTTCCAAGGAGCGACTGGTGAGCTTGAACCGCCGACCTTGCAGTCTGGTGCATTAACCCACAGCGCCACACCAAGGACACTTAGCAACAACTAAATCTGTGAAGCAGTCCTGTTGGCAAACTAGGTTAAGCATTGGGCTGAAGTGATTTCAAACCCACTTCTGCTCCTATAAAGATTCACAGGCTCAGAAACCCTAAAGAGCAGAGTGCTGTTTTGTAGGGTCACTATAGGTTGGAATCAACTCAATTGCGGTAGGTTTGATTGGTTATTTTTATTTTTATTTTTTCTAAATCTATGAGACAGGACACTTTAAGAGTAAAACTTGAAATTAAGTTGTTTCCGAGCTATGTTGTTGTTGTCGAGTGCCATTGAGTTGGTTCTGACCCATAACAACTCTGTGTAGGTTTTAAAAGGAGTGGCTTGTGGGTTTGAACTGCCGATATTGAGGTTAACAGTCCCTATGTTTATCCTAAAGCACCACACAAAGACTCCTTTAGAGCTATGTTGTTGTTAAGTTTCATCGAATCAATTCAAACTCAGCGGCACTATATAAGGTTTCCAAGACTTAAATCTTTGTGGAAGCAGAAAGCCTCATCTTATCCTATGGAGTGGTTGCATTCACTTTTCGAGTTATTGTTGTCATTGTTGTTGTTGCCGAGTGCCACTGAGTTGGTCCCAACTCATAGCAACTCTGTATAGAGTCTCCCTCCAAAGAACAGTTGTTAGGTTTCCAACCTTGTGCATCCCAGTGCTGATCCTACAGTGCCACACCAGGAGCTATAGTTTTACTAAATTCGGAGAGATATGTGTCTGTCTTAAGAAGCTCTGGTAGCATAGTGGTTATGAGTCAGGCTGCTAACCTCAAGGTCAGCAGTTTGAAACTACCAGCTGTTCCACGGGAGAAAGATGAGGCATTCTGCTTCCATAAAGATGTACAGCCTCGGAAACTCTGTTCAGGGTTGCTATGAATGGGAATCGACTCCACAGCATAGCACCACCATGTGTCTGTCTTAATAAAATGATTATTACAAAATTAGAAATTTTAAAATCAAACCCAAGTGGGTTTGATTTATGGTAAACATTTGATTGACTTGATGTTAAAAAAAGAAAGTTTCAACTTAATAGCTGTTGCCAGCAACTTGGACTCTTTTTTCTACAATTGGATTTTTGATTGTTTGCTTTTGTTTCCATAGACTAAAAGGGAAAAACTAAAAACCTTGCATCCCAAGTTTCAAAAAAAAATTTTTTTTTTCTGGTAGCTTCTGCAAATGAAGCGTGTTTGCCGTGTCAGTGAAGCAGATGAAAGTGATCCATAGAACCAGAAGAGGGCACTGTTAGGTTGAAGGACCCACCATTGAACCAGGTTGAATTTGTTTCATAGTTTAAAGTGCTGGAAGGGTGCCAACCAATGACAAAACTGAATCTACTTCTGGGTTGACGGTGACCTCTTTTGATCCAGATTTTTTTTTTCTTTCTTTTTTTTTGATTGAGAAGTTGGATGATTCATACTGATTTCTTTTGGAAATTAGATTTAGGATCTAGGTCAGGAATTTTTTCCTAAATACACGAATGTAAAGGCTGTCTCTATTAACTGTTTTTAATTCCAGATCTAAAGCTAATAATCATAAAGCTTATGACCTGAAACATTGTCATAAGATGAAAAATAAGAAAATTATTCAAAGGTAGTCCACAGTATGATTTTTTTTCTTTAAGTTTCCAAAGCATTATTTTACTAGAAATTTTTAGAATACTAAGAATTTAGTGTTGTCATTGTTAAGTGCCATCAAGTCAATTCCAACTCATAACAACCTTGTATAGGGTGTCAGAGGAGTGACTGGTGGGTTTGAACTGTCGACCTTGTGGTTCACAGTCCAGTGCTGATCCCACAGCATCACACCAGGACTAAGAAATTACAAGGAAGGAAACAAAAAGACCAATATCTTTCTGGCTAGATAACCTCTATAGAAATTCAAAATTATAAAAGTTATAATTGGCACAAGAGATTTGGCTGATAACCTAAAAGTTAGTGGTTCGAATCCAGCCAATGGCTCCATGTTGTCACACTGCTCCCATAAATATGACCACCAAGAAAGCCCCCTGGAGCAGTTCTACACTGTAATACACAGGCGTGCGATGATTTGGAGCCAACTTAACAACAACTAACAACTTCAACAAAAGTGGTGTAAAGTTAGACATTTGTGAATAGGTCAGCAAGATACCAAGTGAAAAGTGAAAATTTCCAATTAACTATCATAATCGCTTTCTAATTATTTCATGAGGCAGGGGAAAAGTGTATGTTTGTATATGTGTACACACACACATACACATGTATGCTGCATCTACTTGCAAATGTGTTATTTTACATGGTGTTCTGTACTTAGCTTTTTTGTTATTGTTGTTAAATTAATGGTATATATAGGGCAGTGTTTCTATTTGAACATGTTCTTTCTCATGGTTCTTTTTAATGGCTGTCTACAATCCCATTGTATGGACTTGTTTGTTGTTGTTAAGATGCCAACTAACAAGTATGAGTTCTGATTCATGGCAACCCTGTTGTTATTGTTAAGTGCCAGCAAGTGGAGTGTGACTCCTAGAAAGCCTGTATAGGATTTCCGAGGAATAACTGGTATGTTTGAACTGCCCACTTTGTGGTTAGCAGTCCAGTGCTTATCCTACAGAATCACATCAGGATTCCAGAGCAAGCCTAGGTCAGCAAAATGAAATACTGCCCGGTCCTGGACCATCGTCCCAGTCATTGTAATGCATGAGCCCATTCCTGAGCCACCGTGTCATTCCATCTCATTGCCTCTACTTTAGCAAGCATGATGTCATCCAGGCATTGCTCCCTTCCCACTCACTTCTAAGGAACATTCTGGTTCTACTTCTTCTAAGACAGATTTCTTCATTCTTCTGGTGGTCCATTGTATGTATATTCAATATTCTTTGCCAACACCATAATTCAAAGACATGAATTATTTTTCAGTCTTCCTTATTCATTATCCAAGGAGCTCTGGTAGTGTAGTGGTTATGAATCGGGTTGCAAACCTTAAGGTCAGCGGTTCAAAACTACCAGCCACTCCGAGGGAGAAAGATGAGGCTTTCTACTCCTGGAAAGATTTACATCCTCGGAAACCCTGTACAGGGTCGCTATGGGTCAGAACCAACTCAATGGCACTTAACAACAACATTCATTATCCAGTATATGAAGCCATTGA